TACATGATCGTATTGAAAGATCTTATATCAAAAAAAAAGATTTCATTCAAATCCCTATAATCAATTTTACAGTTTTGCAATGTTATGATACTTTCAATTTTCGAAAATTCAGAGAATTTGCAGAAAAGACGCACGGCGTAATCTTTTTAAGCGTACCTTATGGTAAGCTATGAAAAAAACTAAAGAAAAAAAATTGAGCCATTTATGTGAAAATAATTTTTAAACTGCCTCTACGTTAAGCCTAAATTGCGTGAAAATTCTTTTTTTCAAAAATTATACACGATCATTCATCTATTTAAAGATCTAAATTTTCAGATTTGATTGTATGACAATCAAAAATACCATCTTTCTGCAGGATGATAATGTTAATTTTTCCAATATACGAACATGAGAAGAGTTCACTAAAAACAAGGCCTGCACCTTTTTTATAATCGCACATTACTCTATTTACCACCCAAAAACAATAAAAAAAATGTTGAGCAAAAAATTGTTAATAATATTTCACGCTAGATTATGAGAAAACTACTTACAATTTCGAAAAATTGTACAGGATCATATTTAAAGCGCGGAATCATAATGGCGAATTAATAGAATTAAATACGAAATCAATAGAGTTTAAGTATTGTTTTCAGAGAATTAAAGAATTTCTCGACAATTTAGTCAGTTTTTAGTACTTAAGCTCAGTTGTCGTAGGCCAAGGTGACTTTGGTCCAAAGCGGATACTAGACAGTTGAAAAAAAGATTTTACAGCAGATAATCATATATGATGTTCCAAGAAATGCCATTTTGCCAAAAAAGCCCCGGCTACTTTCCAAAGAGAATTATATGACATATTAAATCACACTTTTAAAAATAATTTAACATACTCGTTAAGATAGTATGTACGAATATAATAAGTAACAATATGACGTATATTAATATAAAGTTATATAATTCTGCAGAAAAAACGGCGAATATTTTACAGAAAAAATATTTAGAAACTACTAAAAATATATCTTTAAAAATTCTTTTTACAACTTTTCAAAAATGTGCTTCACGATTTCGTCATTAAAATTATTTTACCACATAAACCTCTCTACGTTTTTTTTTATTTTATTCTCGAACAGATAGAATTATGCACATAAAAGTTGTGCAGATGATATTGTCATTGAACTTGCGAAAAATGCAAAATTTACGACAAATGCGAATAAGTAAGTGCTGTCGTAGTACCTTTAGTTCGAGATGTGTGAGATAAATTTCACTGGAGTCACAATTCAGGCCTTTAGTTTCCTTTACATTCATATTCATTCGTATGGTCTTGAGGTTTGATTGTAATGCCTTAATCTTTGGGTACATGTTCATTTATATACGAGTCACGTATGTATAATATTTGATTATTTACTTCCGTAAATTACAGCTAAGTTTGAAGTTTAGAGCTACCCTGTTGATCGAATAATCCATTTAAGTTCAGCTAACAGACACTGTTATATCTGATGATAGTCGTTTGTGATCACACCACACTATAAACTATTAACACGTTTATATCGTCATGCACATTCAAACACCATTCACTCACTCGTGATACAGACTTGAATTAATAATCACAACACTATAACACCTCACATTGCGTACAGCAATAGATTATAGACAGATTGAAGAAATTACTAACGAAAACTTCACTTCTTTCGAAGATATATTTCACACATCACTCTGATGAAATATTTATTTCTCCTAATGCATATTTTATGGCGTCTCGGAAACGTTGAAAGAAATATAAAGAAAAGCTTTCATGAACAATGGCATTTTGTTGAAAATTCTCTATCACGATTGCATTTTAATTTACTAGCATTACTTAAGTCCAAATAAATAAACGGGAGTGCATTTTCAATATAGTCTTAATTTCTTAAAGAAGCGTGTTAATTATTTTCACTGCACACATTTCACTTCAACTCGAATAACTATTTAGTTTAATTTCGAAGCACCCACTTTTTTTCTTATTTTTCATGCTTGTGAATTTCAATAAAGGAACTCCAACAATCCGATCACACAATTACACAGTGCTCTTAAATAATTCAATGTATGAAAGAATATTCCATTATTTCATATTTAATATTATTCCATTTTTTATCACAACAGAAATGTTATGTTAAGAATTTTTTTGAAGAAAAATATTTTTTTATTAATGAAATATGTCAAAGAAAGCTTTTTGAAATGTTCCTTCTGTACTAACAGATATTGAACGTAAAATCCATACTTTTGCGGGATAAAGTTGGTGCGAGGATATTTAAAGTGAAAGACAGACATAGGACGAAATAATTATCGATATATTTTCGATCAATATGTATATACAAAATTTACATATCACGAAGCGTGCGGGCTATTTAGGCGATGATGCCGTGGGCGCCCAGGACACCAGCGCCGACGAGGCCGTGGGCGCTGACGAGGCCGGGGGCGGCCAGGACGCCGGGGGCGCCGAGGACGGTGCGAGAAGCCACGAGGCCGGGGGCGCCGATGAGGCCGGGGGCGGCCAGGACGCCGGGGGCGCCGACGACGGTGCGAGAAGCCACGAGGCCGGGGGCGCCGATCAGGCCGGGGGCGCCGATCAGGCCGGGGGCGGCGAGGACGCCGGGGGCGCCGACGACGGTGCGAGAAGCCACAAGGCCGGGGGCGGCCAGGACGCTAGGGCCGGCCACGACGGCGGGCGCGCCCAGCAGGCCGGGGGCGGCGGTGGCGGCGGCCACGACGGACAGGAGAACGACCTGCAACACACAAAAGCAATGCTTTCAAGTGCACAAACATTGTAGAGAGTTTAGTCTAAAAAGGGTCCGGTTTGACAGGGTGGAAAACAAAAGAAAATCTTGCTATATGACGGCATTGCACGAGATTGTGTCGGAGGCATCTGCAAGCCACGGAGCTGCAAGCGAACGGATTAACAAATTGGGCACATGGACATAGTAACTCGCAGTTATATTCCCAACGGTATCCAAGCAGTTCTTGTCAAAGCGGTCCTTTCTTAGAGTAACCTTTTGTTTCCTAACTAGGTGGATTTTTATTGGCTGCAAAATTCCGGAATTTATTAGTAAAATATATGTGTGTAATTTGTCGCTGCCTGAAAAGTTGCTCACTACTTGCGAGATTTGTGAGTCTAAATAGATCTGTAAATTTATTTTGAAATCTAAATTATATTTGAAAAAACCACTATTTTATAATCTGTATTGCAATAGTATCTAATATAAGTTTTGTTCAAATATTTGCAAACTACAATAAATGTTTGCAAACTATAGTACATATTTTATGAATCATTCATCTAGAGATTGGTGAGAGTAAATGCAATATATATATTTAGTTTCAAGCTGCTGTTGTATAAAGTAACACATTTAAAATAAACACAAACTAATATGAGGTTTTAGTTTCTTCAGGTTATTTTTGGACTTTTGCTGGTATTTTAAATTTTGGTAAATTTGAAAAAATTAGTAACTAAAAATACATAAGAATAATTGTAACTTTGAATGTACTGTTGTTTATAAGAATTCCCAAAAAGCGATATTTTCAAATAAATCCATAACATGTCATTATGGTATAATAGGTATGGCAGAAATATCATAGAATGACAAACTAAAACGATATCAATTTCCGACACAGATACAGTGTTCAATTGGATGAGTTTATTTTTGAGAATATTTTGTATTGTATTTTCCAGTTTACTGCGGTGGCTTTAATTGAAATAAATCACAAACATATCAGATTGAGTAAGAACCTATTCTAAGATATGTTTCAATGCATCAATGTTGAAAGTGTAAAATTGTCAGAAATGGGTACTTTTAAGAAAAAGTAAGAACTAGTTAAACCAAATCCCTAGAAATTTGTTTTCGAAAAAGAAGTATGATCACTGCTTTAGAATAACAAGTAAAATTCTCTTGTATAACACTGCAATAAATTAAATATTTTAACAAATACAGTCTTAATCATTACTGCAATATGATAATATTGAAAATATACAGGTAAAATATACTTCTTTAAATATCAAAATATTAAAAAATGTCACTGTTGCATATCCCAACCCGTAAATAAACTAATTTACTTTTTACTGTCATAAATGGAAATTGGTATTTGTTTGGAGCCCAAATTATAAATTAATAATATATTACCAGAGAGAAAATAACGTTTGCAAATTTCTTAAAAAGGCAACAGAACAATTAACTACACTGCACAACATTGATTTTTTGCAATTAAACAAAAGTATTGAAAATTCTTCAAAATGTTTCCATACAACACAATTTTACGACTTAAAAATCAAATCGAGACTGCGATGAAACTAGTGAAAATCAACTCGATAATTTTACCCAAAATTTCCCAGCAACATACACGTAAAGTGAACCCAAATGTGACTTACCAGCTTGTACATGGTGTGTTGTTAGCGGAGAATTTACCTCAGCAGTGCCGACCATAGTGCCCGCCCAGCTTATATAGGTGGCAGCGACCTGGTTGCTCTGGCGAACTGATGCAACTTTGCCAAATTTTTCGCGAGCCCCGGATCACCTCGTACTACTACAGCTCGGCGCAGGAAAGGAGTTGGAAGCCCATATGGGACAGTGGCAACGCCCTGACCTTCTCAAAGACCAGTGTCCTGAGGATAACCCATTAACGGTTTTAAAATGCTCCATAATCGCTTCCGTCATGCGTGCTTTTAAATTAATCATCTGAGTTGAAACTTTTTCATTTCTTGTGAACAGACTGACATTATTATATTTTTAAAAAATAGTTACTCTCCCATGCCTGAACTTCCGCGTTACACTTTTTTAACCTAGAGCGTTGGCATTTCTCTACGAAACAATAACCTTGACTTTAATAGCGCACAAATAGCGCAGCAATAGGCCAATACACCAACGCCTTCTGCTGTCCTAGAATACCGGGCAGAAGGCAAGGTCTAAGAACCTACACAGCAAGGTGGTCAGGTGACTGCGCAAAGTGTGCAGAGTGTTACATCAGTTGACGGTCGCCGAGGGGCAGTGGCGTTGAGTATAAAGGCTGGACGGGCACTGCCCCTTGCACTGTCGAGTTGAACTCTCAGCACAACACACACACATCATGTACAAGCTGGTGAGTAGAGTGTCGCTCCTGAAATATTCTTTTCAGAAAGCGATCAGTCTTTTCTTTTATATCTTAATACATTTTCAAACGTTCAAAATTTAATTTTGACATATTCAAACAACAACTGACTGCAATATAACGCCTTGTATATTTTATTATTTGAAAAGTAGGATGCCATTAATTTTGATAATTAAAATGACCGAAAATGCTTTTTATTTATTTTCATATTTAAAACGTAGCAATCGGTGGCTCATTTGTTAGCTTTCACGCTTTCCACGGCGTAACCCCGTTCGATTCCCGGTTGGGACAAAAACTCGTAGTGCGCTGCCCTTGCTACGTTCCAATATCTGTTGCTGTGTGATGATCAGAAAACTCACTGATCAGGTTGGGAAGTCCAGAATACAGCTTAGGGATGGCTATGTGCTAACCTCACGTAACCCTTAACCCATCTCCGCAAGGCCGGGGCGCTGCTGCCAGGACGCTTAGCCCTTAAAGGGCCGTTGTGCCAAAGTACACACATACAAACATATTTCAAGCAGTTCAGAATTGTCTGCATTACTGTTCTTTATTTAAACTGTTTTATTTATGTGATTTTTAATTATTTTTTTTCTTTTCACTTTAGAACAATTCCATTTTATATTGACATTAATTTTATGTTGTGATATAGGGAAATTGATCCATTTTTATATAGCATTTTTGCATTGTTCGTTCATTTCGTCTAATAAGTCATTTTTTTTACTTTTCTCTGTCATTTTTAAAGCATTTTTGCTAATTTCATCTTTTTTAAAACCGTTTTAAAGGTACTTGCTTCAAATAATATTATCGGTTCGGCCGATTTCGGGATAACTTAAGACAGATTTCTTGGCAATGAACAGACCAAACTAAATGTTTTCAAGCTGAGTTCACTTGAACGAAAAGAAGAAACCTTGATTACGACAGTCACATATCCAACTGCTTGAGTTGTTCGTCTGAACTGGTTTGATCAAATTTTGCATGTCATTTTTCTTTGCTTTGAGAACATGTAAAAAGAGCATTTATTGATCCATTTGGCAAAGTTTTAAGTCATCAAAATCCGCCCTCTACTCATACCTATCCTGTTCTTGGTTCGACTGCCCGATAAGGGCCTTGGCCGACCTGCGGTGCCCAATCTCTCGGCAATGGGATAAAGGGTTTGTGCAGTTAGCACGAACACATCCTTTTCCAATGTATTCTGGTCTTCTTAATCGTAAGGAGGGCTTTCTAATTGTCACACAGCAATAGATACTAGGACATTCTAAGGAAAGGCCACAGTTATATTGCTTTGGCCGGGAAATGAACCCGGGCTTGCGCCGTGAAAAGCAAGTACTCTAACCAAAGAACCACCCAAGGGAGTCATAATGTATCAAAATATAAAAAGAACTAATTCAGAATGTATTAAAATTTCGAACTCATAGACCACATTTTTTTACACGTTCCACACATGTGAATTTCTAATTATTCTTTGCCTTCGTGCTCAGGTCGTCCTGCTGTGCGCCGTGGCCGCCGCCACCGCCACCCCCGGCCTTGTGGGCGCGCCCGTCGTGGCCGGCCCCGCCCTCGCCGCTCCTGGCCTGATCGGCGCTCCCGGCCTGATCGGCGCTCCCGGCCTCCTGGCCCCCCGTGCCATCGCCGCTCCTGGTCTGATCGGTGCTCCCGGCCTGATCGGCGCTCCCGGCCTTCTGGCTCCTCGCGCCATCGCCGCCCCCGGCCTGATCGGCGCTCCTGGTCTGATCGGCGCTCCCGGCCTGATCGGCGCCGGTGTCGTCGGTGCTCCTCTGGGTGTCCGCGCCATTCACGGTTAATTCACCCAAGACCCTCTTAATTTATCTTGTGAGTTGGAGAGAAATAAAAGCTAAGCTTTAAAACAACCTTTTGTGTTTTTAGTATTGATTTATGCCTTCTACCTACAATCGACCTATTCCTACTATACAGTTGAAAAACATCAACAGTTTCTAATGTTTTAAACTGTTTATTAGTTAATATCGTAGTAATATTACGTTGAACTCTTAGTCACTTCCTCTCTCAGTTATTTAATTTTTCGCTAAGAAGGTGATAAGAGGCATCAATTATTTAATATACTTCTAAGTTTGTACCTACATGTTTATCCGCAATATTTTATTATATTATGTTTTATTATTACATGTGTATTTCGAATTAATGAAAGCTGAACAAGTTTTCTAACCTTGAACATCCGTGCTATGCAACCCGGCAAGCAGTTCTCAGGATATATTTTCGTAATCATTCTTCGATGGAAGGAAATAATATTAGCTGTCATATACAAACATTATGAACGTAAATTTACCGAATACGATAGCAACTTCTTCTTAAAAAAACATCGTGTACAGTTTTATAATTGTGGCTACAAAAAAGCGAGGAACAAAAGTTTTAATAAATTCTGAAGTTATTAGCACCTAAAAATCTTACAAAAATTCTTATTAAGGTTCCAAAGAACAATTCAATTATCGTGAGAGTTTTAAAGTGTCTGCGCAATACGAACATATGGAACTAATGAATCGAAGGCGGAGACGGAAAAATAGAGCAAAGTAGTGAGAAAATGTTTATGGTGAAGAGACGGAAAGCAGAAACCGAACCACCATGCAACCATTTTTTTATAAAGGACATAATCTGATATTGATATTTCCATAAGTATAGTAAAATATTTAAACATTTAAAATTCCTAGATGTCACATTCAGAATAATCAATAATCCGTACTGCTCAGGTAGTGTTGGTGTTGATCGGATAAACCACGGAAAACTACCGATCAGAGCAACTGATCGCTAGAATTCTCCACCAGACAGAGCTGAACTCGACCTAACTATGTAGGTAGTGTCTAAAATCCTGCCACCGTCGGGGTTCCAATCTTTGACCTGGCTCAGGCACAGCTATGACATCTGTTGATGTCCTGAGCCGCCTAAGTCTCTAGCCGTCTCGTAAGTATAGTGAATGTTGTAATTGGAAGGTGTAATCGGACCGGACGGAACGCCAGATCCGACCACGACCTACACGTCTACTTGTTAAAGAAGTGCCCTTAGTAGGGCACAGCTCCAGCACGACGGGCTCTGCTCTCCAGAGGCATTTTAGGAGTCATAAACTTACTTCTTTAATATCTTCAAGGAATATGTATGTGATTAACTTCGAGTGTCCATTAATATATGTATGTGATTAATTTCGATAAAAATTGAATACATATCCTAAAAATAGAATTGCCATTGAATGCCATGCCCAAAATGCCATGCCATGTCATAGCACAAAAATTCATGTCTACTTGTCATCTGGCGAAGACGCTTCATCTGAGGAATCTATGATGCAGATAAATCGATACGCCGATGTAGGTAGAGAAACATGTGAACAAATTCTCTTTTGTGATTATTGTAGAGTTGTGATTTGGCCACGAATTATTTGACTGTGCGAAATTCAATGGTTTGTAAAAGTAAATGATTTATTGAGAATACCAGCAAAAAAAGTCGTGAGTCGTGAGAATTGGAAGGAAATGACGTCGCTCAAAATATAACCAACAATATTATTCCAAAATTAAATATACCCATTTGATCAAACACTTTTTAGGCGGTAGTAATTTTTTGGGTACTCACCTACACAAACTACAACCTACTAAGCGCAGTGACATCAATATTAAGTGATTTTATAAGTGTACTTTTCTTTTTGTTTGTTAAACTCTGAGAATGACCGACGATTACAATGGTATTTTCTTAGATCAACATTAGTGCAAACGATATAATAACGCTTTTGTAATGACGCTTTTGAAACCTATGTCACTACATACGAACCCGGAAATAGCTTATTAACGACTGTTACCGTTGCAGAATGTCTGAAACGCACGTCTTAGGGTTGTGGTCTCTTTGGAGTGCATTCAACGGGCGGTGGTGACGCTAGCTTCTCGTCGTGCGCGCTTCACTTTAGTAAATTCGAGTTAGCGCAAGTCGAATACCGATCGGCTGCTCTAAAACGCAGTTTTTCGTCGTTTCTCCGATATATACCAACCCTAATAACGAAACATAACTCTAGGAAACCTTTCACGGGCTGCGTGCCATCTTCCTTGCTTCATTCTTGACCCTTCATTTACTCTCACTCGTACACTTTCATGCAGTACACAACCACACATGTTGGTAGAGCAGTCGGGAGCTGAGAGCTTGTCGCCATTAGGGCGTTGCCCAGCTAGGGGAGACATATGGAGTTAGAATTCCTGAAACGACGTGTAAGGCCACAGTAGATCTTACTTTCCAGTACAGGAGAATCGTCGCCACCTCCTGCCTATAAAATGCACTGCAGTTGCGAGAAAAATAACAAAAAAGTTGAAGTGTGCGGATACAGGATTACACCACTACATCAGGGAATTGCCCCTTATCTCATTAGTCTGGAATGAAATAGTATATGAAAGAGCCATAGCGTCAGAACTTGAAGTTAATAATCTGTACTTACTTCGATTATTAATAACGTAAAATAATGAAAATAATGAAGACACGGAGATTACAATCTTGGTGTAATGGTGTAGTAAGGTGTAAATAGAATCGTTAGAAAGTAGCGCGTATTGCAATGTAACGAACTTCATTAGTATCATTAGAACTGTTGAAGAGTCTTTACATCCCCATACAGTATTTGAGTAGCTACGAGTGTGCATGTTTGCGAATCCGTCACTCATGATTAGATCACCCCTGTGCACCAATCGAGACGTGTGCGGTGTCTTCAACATGTCTCGCTCTCCTGATGGGTAACTGATAATTTGTTTTCAGATACGGCCAGAAGATTCAAAGAAATTTCCAAAAACGTGTTTTTTGTGTTGTTTAAGCACAGCGATCTCAGTGGGTAGATGGAGACCAGCGCTACCTAAATAGATCTGTGCAAGTTGCATTGATTTTACTTCAGTACCCAGAGGCAATTTTTACTCTACGTCGCTGTAATTTTCTTCTATGAGGTGGCAACACTAATAGTTCTGGAAAATGTGAAACACATGGCAGAACCTCGTGTCAATAGTGATGGTGCTTTGAAAATAAGAAAATAAATGTATCTTACGTATTACCGTATTGTTAAAAATAAATTTACAAACACCTACGTACTATTATCCTGGAACTTATTAAATTTTAAGAATGAGAAGTGAAAATGGAGAAACCAAATCTGTGAATAATATTAGAGAACAGAAGCACATGCGTATATGACTTCGCACATTTACGTTCTGGAAGGTGCAAATATGGGGGAATAATGATATTTAGTTGTAAAATATTCTGTGACAGAAATTTTGGACCTATTTGGAAGTGATCTTACAAAAGCATTAGAAAACACAGCGAAGAACTGCATAATGGTGATCTTTCATGTGCATTTGAGTGCATATATTTTTTTTAAAGCGTACAAAATATAGCTGTAGAAAATTTTAACTATTTGCATCTTTCGTACCTACAAGTGTTTTTTCACAGCGATTACAGTTTCAAAATTGTTATATTACCAGTTCATATCCCGTATGAACGTAACTTGTAAGGTTTGGGTGCCGGGAATTTTTGAACGATAGTATAACAGAATCAACTACTACGATTCATTGGTGTTTCTAATACCAGACACAGTAAGACCTTATTTGAGAAGAGTTATGCATGACATTTCGAAATTTTCAATACATGAAAAAACTTTTAAAACAGTTGACAGAGTCGGTGGCGCCACATTCAACTAGTTCCTAGCATTATAAAAAATGAGTAGTCATGTCTCATTGTTGCCCACATCGTCTGGCCCATATACACCCTGAGTAATATCAACCCCGGATTTTGTACCAGATTTTATTTATTGTTTTAATTCTTCTTAGTATTTCCTTCCAGTTTTATAACTCCTGTGTTTCAATGTGTTTCGATGTTTGTGAATAAAATTACTTAAATTTAATGTTAACTTTATTAGTAAATTATTACTATGCCAATGTTTCGTAGTTCTCCCGATGTGAGAATCGCAAATCTCCCTGAACTGTAATACTTCTTTCAAAACCATGGTTGTTAATTAACTGAATATTAATTTTTATTACTCTACCTCGCGTTCACGAATTCGAGTACTTGTAACTTCCTAGGTCATTTTCAGAAGAAAATCGATAAAAAACCTCGCACTAGTTATTAAATCATTTCAGTTAAAATAAAATAATTTTTTGAAGTTGAATCATGACACCAAATATCTCTCCAATAAATTTAGGGAAAACAAGCAGAGTAGGATTGAGTCAAGGGAGTTGAGAGGGCAATACTTATTAATGACTAAGGATAACTCGAAATATGCCACTTCAAATTATTTCAATTAATTATTTTTTTGAAGTTGTATGGTGAAACAAAAAATCTCTCCAATAAATGTGTGAGCTTAGAAGCGAAACAAGCAGAGTAGGATTGAGTAAAGGGAGTTGAGAGGGCAAGAAAGAGACGAAGTACAGTTAGACAAAATGGCGGTTTGTATTTCGATCA